GGTTGTTCTGATCATGTTGGTGGAAATCCAGTTCATACAATACGTTACTAAATAGTTGCAACAGAGGGTACATCTCCAACCACAACTACCTTCCACAAAAGAGATATAGTTGATATCACTCCATATCAGTCTTTCAAACGCAAAGACGGCAAGGGCATTGGCTTTCTGGTAAAGAAATAGAAATAGTCGATGATTGAGATGCTCCTGGGAGTTTGCGGATAAGGGGGAGAGGAATGGGGCCAGTAATAAATAAGCTTATGTTTTGGTTTTCTTGTTCATAAATCAACGTGCTCTGTAGCATTTCACATAAGTTACGGATTAATTATTCCCATTAGTTAAGGCATCAAAGGGTGTATGAATAAAAATACAAACAGGTACGGGTACAGAACATGCGCTAGTCCTGAATGGGAAGCCAAGGGTTCCAAATATAGGGCACCACGTGACCAGAGCCCCACTTGTGCAGCTCTCCGTATATGTACGGAGTGACAATCAACCAACCGTCCACTCCATCAGCAAATGACCACAAGCGTGGACAGCCGAGCAAAACGATGGCTCAATCGACATGCAGTCTGAAGAACCACTGGGAGTGTGTTCACCATTCAGCTTCTGAAAATAACCTTAACGCCCCCCAAAACAAAAGGATTTTTTGCGGCCGGGTTCGGACGGTGGCGGAAGCGGAAGCGGCTGGGGAAAGCCGCAAGAAATCGGCTTATGGACATCCTGAATACAAGTACGGAGTACTCCGTACAGAGTAAAGAGTATGCAGGCGTTCAATTTAACTTTTAATCGGTTTTAGGTTCGGACACCGAGCAGGATTGCAGAGCTCAGCCGCACCACCTATGTATCAACTTCGAATACATCATTGACCAACACGGGAGTCAGAGGCATATACTATGGGGAGGAAGGCGGTCAGGACAGCGCGATTTTTGCATTCAACCAACTCTCAAGAAGCGTGAACAAGCTTCCTATGCGCTAGGTCGAATCTCTCAATCAAGAAAAATGATAAAAGAGAGATATCTATCTGGTGCGGTTGGTTGAAAAGTGTCCGGAGTTAAAGTAATTGATGCCATTACATGAGATTGGAAGCTGCTTACCAATATGAAGTAGTTGCAACGTTGATGCTTGTGGTCACATATATATGTAAGGGCCGGTTTGTAGATTCGAGTAACCTATGGGGTCCCGATATGCTCCTTGCGGGCTGCTGATTTCTTAACACAGCTGCCGAACTTCACTCATCCTTTAAGTAAAAAAAAAATTAAATATATATATAATTCCACCCAACAATATTCAGCAGAAACTCTCAAAATGTGCGGCATTACGGCGAGTATTGCCCTGCCTCTTGACCATGGACGTGGGGATGCTCATGACAGCGACGAAGCCGCCCCCAATGAGTCCCTAACCTACAAACTTCAAGCCTCTCTCGAGAAAATAAAGCACCGGGGCCCGGATGGATCTGGCGTCTGGGTCAGTCCAGATGGTAGTGTTGGCCTTGGACATTGCCGGCTTGCCATCAACGACCTTTCCCCCAGCGGTGCGCAACCTCTTTCTAGCGATGATGGGCAGATTCACACCATTGTCAATGGCGAGATCTATGATTATGACCGGCTTCGGGACATCTGTGCTGTTGTCCACGGCTACAAATTCCAGAGTGACAACGATAGCGAGCTCGTGTTAGCTCTTTACAAGATCTACGGATGCCCAGAGTTCTTTAAACACCTGCGAGGCGAATTTGCGTTTGTTCTATACGATAGCCGCGATGGATGTGAAAGGGTGATTGCTGGGAGAGATAGGTTTGGTATTAAGCCACTGTTTTGGACGACTGTTGGGGATAGGATTTTACTAGCATCGGAGGCAAAAGCATTCCTGCCCTTGGGTTGGAAGCCCGAGTGGGATGTTGGGGCAATAATGGACCTCGGTTGGACGGTTGACGACAGAACGCAGTTCAAAGACGTGAAAAAGCTGTTACCAGGGCATTGGTTTGAAATCTCCAAGAAGGGGCTTCAATTACATAGGTACTGGGACTCAGACTATGAAGATAAGGTATGGTATCTTTCGAGCCCATATGGCCTGTGATTGAACTTAACAAAGAGAATAGACAAAACCTGACACTCGGAGCATTGATGAAATGGTAATTGGAGTCCGCAAGCGACTCGTCGAAGCGGTCCGGTTGCGACTCCGCGCGGATGTTCCAGTTGGTGTTTATCTGTCAGGTGGTATCGATTCTTCTGCCATTGCAGGAATCGTAACCCAGCTTGCGAGAAAAGAACGTATCAAAATTGGTAATCAAGCAGCAACAAAAGTGGCGTGCTTTAGTGTACAGTTTCCAGAAAAGTCGGGCTTTGATGAGTCAGGTACAAGAGCAATGTTGAATTTGATCATATATATCATCAATAACTAACACCATGTTCTACAGACGTTGCAGATCAGACGGCCAAATGGTTGGGTGTTGAAACAATTAAGAAGGTTGTTGATGAGGCCACCCTGGCGGATAATTTTATTGATGCGGCATATCATTGTGAACACAGCAACCTTGATCTTAATTTTGTGGCGAAATTTGCACTATCAACACTGCCACAAGAAAATGGGATCAAGGTTGTCATCACAGGTGAGGGGCCTGATGAACACTTTGCGGGATATGTATACTTCCTGCAGGGCCTACTGCTAGAACCGGACCTATCTCAGCCAAACTCTCCACTTTCATCGGAGGAGGAGGTCCGTAAGCAGTTGCAAAAGAGAGTCGCTGATGAGCTGAGCAATGTTTTGAACAAATTGGGAGCAGCCACCGTTGATGACGATAACGGAGAAAATGGCTTGCTTACTGTTGCCAATGGCTCTTCAACGGCCGTGGCATTATCGGCCAGCTGGCAACCATCCCAAGAGATTTTCGCATCATGGATACGCGAGAGTGATCAAGAACACGATTTGAAGAAGACCTTAATGATGTCGCACTCCTCTGACGTCCGGACCAAGATGCACTCAACCTGGCACAGCTTGCACACATCCCTCTACATGTGGAACAAAAGCGCCCTACCCAACCTCCTTCTTTCAGCTCTGGGGGACCGCGTCGAAATGGCTCATAGTGTTGAGGGACGGACACCATTCTTGGATCACCATCTCACGGAATACGTGAACAACCTTCCTCCGAGTGTCAAAGCCGCCTATACAGCCCAACAGGCGACGGCGGTTACTCAGCAGGAAGGCGCAATCTGGAAGATCGCCGGGTCAGCAATGCAGTCGATAACAGAGAAATGGATCCTGCGCGAGGCGGTTCGGCCCTACATTACCGATGAGGTCTACCGAAGGAAGAAGCATCCGTTCTTGGCCCCCATAAAGTGGCCTGAAAAAGGGCCCCTGCATTGCATGTTTGAAAAACTATTGACCTGTGATGCTGTTGAAAACCTGGGTTTTATCGACTACAATGTCGTTGAGCAGATGCTGGGTCGAGCATTTGGTGATAACGCTGATGTAACGGCGTTCCGTGCATTGTTGTGTGTCGGTTCGTGGGTTGCTCTATCACAACGGTTGGGTGTTAAAAGGGCAGAGGCAGAGGGCTATATGCGTTAAGTAAGGCTGGGTGGTATGCTTCTGTTATCAATATTTCTTTCATGGGCTGATGGAACTTGGACAAATCAATGAGTTTTGGGGGTTTATCAGGGAGTTCCCAGATCAGAGAACGGCGACTCCAATATTTGGATTAACAGTTATTTGGATAGAAAGTCTCAGTTTTCATGATCCAACAAAGTAGAAGCTCTCTATATAACTTGAGTGGAGAAGAGCATAGCCAGCCAAGCCTTTTTTTCTCCAATTTTTGGAATGATCTCGAAATTCATTTCTGGGATGGAATTGCTCAGCTTTGCTGCTATGGATGTCCCTGATTCTCGTAACATCTTAGTCTGAACAAATCTTTCGGAGTGTTCTGGACGAGCAAGCTGATTCCTTGCCATAAACTCACAAAAATCCAGGTTTCAGTCGACTGAGAAGATTTGCGTTGGAGATACCAGATACCATCTACTCCGTACCTAGCTTCCAGTTCAGTCGTTATCAGTATATCAGAGCCCACTTTTATGTGGGAGAACGAAAGATAATAGTAACCATTCAATAATTCTCGTGATGACGTGAAATGTAAAAGTTAGTCGCAATGGAAGCACCACAAGCCAAACCGCATATAATCCTCAACGCCTTACTTATTTTAACCCAGGTCCTTCGAACATTCGCAGGTTTATTTTGCAAAGGCCCCATTAATTCTCCGTGCCCTCCCTCACACCTGTTCCCCGCCCTTCTGATAGGCAGTAATTGTACAGTACGGAGTAGATTCGCCCTCTTGGGGGGAGGTGGGGCATAAGTCCACGGAGTAATGACTTCTCACTAAAGCGAGAAGAACTCTACTCCGTACTGATGGCCAATAAGTTGGGATCCAACAAGGAGCAAACCCGATGCAGATCACCCAAGGTTTTTGTTGATTAGCTGTTGATCAAGGGAGAAAAAAAAATCCCTCATACAAAAGTATAAAACGGGGTTCAAGTTCCTGTTCAATCAAATTCAGAGCTGCTCGCACTCTCAGGTAGTGATTGTTTTTTATTTATACTACCGTTGTTACCTATCTACTAACCTCTTGCACGGTCCTTCCACGGCGCAAATGCCTAGGTCATGCTGTTGCAAACAGACAAGAAAACAGCCAGCAAAAGCCATCAAGTAAAAAATGAATGGACCTCCTCCTCATCTTCCTGCTCTCATGGCTGCTGTTGCTCATTTGACCCTCAATATTACGGAGTAACAGATGACGACGAACCAGTCGGTCCGGTTTTTATTCTCCCTTCTCCAGATTAATTTTAATACCACTCCATGCAATACATAATGATAATAATAGTGATGATTCGTACTCTGTGTGGGGTTTTGATGATTGAAGCGCTCTATGAAGTACTTCATACAATGGAGTAGCAAGCTGGGAAGAAAAGGGAAGAAAAGGGGAAGAAAATAAAAATTATTAAAAAAAGAAATTTCTCCCCGACAGGGAATCGAACCCTGGTCTCCCGCGCTTGGCAACTTAATGACAAGCGGAAATCATCACCACTAGACCATCGAGGATGAACTTGTGTTAACGGCATTTCGAATGCCTATTTTACAACTGATGAGTTATTTTCTAGTCATTGTTGTCAGAGGTACTCCGTAAATTCTATGATTGTACTCCGTAAATTCTATGATTGTACTCCGTAAGTTCTATCATGGAAATTTATGTATATAATATAAAAAAGGGAAAAAGGGAAAAAGGGGAAAAGGGGAAAAGGGAAAAAGGGAAAAAGGGAAAAAGGGGGAAAGGAGGCCATCGTAGGTTTCCATGAAAAGTCAAAAATAAAATAAATAATGTTAAAAAATCGAGTTCGATATCAACAACATGTTTTTTATTGCTACCATTTTATTATTTATATTGCTTTTGCTTTCGAACTTGGCTCCTTTTCTCTTTTTTTATTTTATTTTATTATTACTACATATATTTTTACGTACGATACCCAATTGAGGGGTTCTAATAATGATCAAGTGGCGGCTTGGTGCTTCCAAGGGTTGTGGTGGATGGGATGGGATGGATGCAAATTGTCCACCTGCCCGTTCTTTTTCCTTTTTCGCGTGCATGCAAGGAAACAGCGGCTTGCATGATCAAATGCATGTCACCCACTCTTTGTTAAAAGCTTACCTGCCTGGGTTTACGAATATGACGCTTCCAACGGGCTGTTTACACCCAAGACAGTTTATATGCCCAGTAATGGTAACTAATGATTGTCCCTTACTAATCTCTCCTTGCTTCCTTTGGTCCCAACCTTGTACTGAGAAGTTATTAAAATATCTGTTTACTCCGTACTCCGCACTTCGCGTGGCTCTCGGCACGTGGACTGTTAACATGGAGGACTTCCCTCAGACAATGGGCAATACCAAATTAAATATTCTCGAAATTCTTGCTTTATGGACATATCCATGAGAAAGATAGGAGGAGTGATTTTTTATGTACGGAGTATTATTTATTTATTTATGATATAGCAATGATAAGCTGATTGCCTACGACGTTGTCAGAGGTACCTATGAGCATGGATCGATCCCTGATAAACGGAGTCCTCCGTACGTACACTAATGATCTCCAGCCAAGTTCAGTCGAAGTTTCAACATCCATCTGTACGTGCTTGTGAGAGACATGTGGGCTAGGTATGCATAAGTGCGCTGATCAAATTAACATTACGGCCGACTTTACTCATGGCTTATTTACCTTTTCCCTCGCCTTGGAGGTTTTGTTTTTTTTAATCATCATATGCACACTTGGTCAGTCGATGTTGGTGGGGTGGGATGCGAGCCGGGGGAGATAAGATGACTTGTTTTTTGATGGTTGGATGGGAAATTTAAGAGATTCTTTTTTTTGTTCGTACAGTACATACGCAGTAAATAAATCGAGAAAATGATCTTCTGCTTCCCTTTTATTCGGTTTGGTTGTCGCTTGTTCGCTGTCGCGATATGGCTTAGTTTCAGCAGGCCAGGTGGACGGAGAACCTCCACTTTGCATACAACAGGTGAGGGGTAAAGTAATGGGATGATACAGCATACCATCGTCGTACTTGTAAGAAAACCGATAATTGAAGAAATAGAATAAAGGAGAATAAAATAGCACCAATTCCATTGCGATGAAGGAGTGGGTTTGTTCTCTCGTCGTATCATCATTCCAGTGGTATGGGCCGCTGTCCAGGGCAGCAATTTCAAATCAACATTGACTCTATTTCGCGAGTTTATATTGTTGACAATAATAATATGACGAAAAGAGCAGCTAACTCACTTATTTAATTTGGTTACAAACAAAAGCGGGTGACGAGCGAATAATAATACGAGGAAAATGTGCGGTTGTTGTAATAAATAATTAAGTAACCAAAGTTTTCCCTTGTTGCCGAGTCCAAAGCGCTCAAAAGCGGCGTGGGACAACACAGAGTGGACACCGCTGCTGGCTTAGTCACCCACTGTCGCATTTCCATCCCCCCCTTCAAGAACCCTCGTCTCCCTCATCTTCTCTCTCTCTCTCTCTTTTCTGTTCTCTCTTCCACCCGCACTCTACATTGATTCGACAATCAATCTCCTTCTTTTCCATTTATACCAATTCAAATTATTTCATCTTCCTCCTTTTTCATCTGATTACTGCATGCTTTCTCACAACCTCATCGCTCCTGTTGCTGTGACTTGGTGCCTGGCACGACAGTTAAAGAAAAAATAAATTTGTTCCCACTAATACACGGTTTGGTGGTGGCGACAACATCCGGATTCCGGGTTTTCTGCCCACCCTCGCCGCCTTCCCAAACCCGACCGCCCGCGGAATCTGTAGGCGAGTCGCTATTATTAATTATTCTCTACGGAGTAGTCTCTGCGGCGACACCCATCAATTGACCTCAGGCTTCGTGCCTCGTCTCCCCATCTCGTCGCCCACCATTCGTCCACAATCACGGCCTCTCTTGCGTCCTTCAAGTCACGATGACGGTCTACCTCTTATGACAATAACTCTCTTGACGGGCATCCTTTTGCTCCTCAATATATCCCCCCTCTCCCCCGATATCCACAAACGATACACTTGATATTGCCCGGTTATCTCCATAATCGACCGTACATACACACTTTATAACGGCAATTATTTCGTGTTACGCAGCCCGCATTTCCTACTGCATTTTGGGAGGCTTTTCGATTATTTTTTCGCCGTGTCCTCTTACCCATCTATCATACGTGTCTACGTTGATTTTGTTATTGTTTCTTTTCCAAACTTCAACTTCGAACAGTACCCTAACGTCGGATCGGAAGGACCCTAAGCTTGGTAATCAGCAATGATGAATACATTGGCCAAGATGTTGCGTTTATCCAACACACCGAGTGCTCCAACGAGCGATGGCGAGGAGATCTCCGCCGAGGCAGATGAACCGCCAGACGATCGCAAGCCTGAACCATACTCGAATTTAAAGGACACCGTATCCCAGCCATATGCCAAGGCAAGGCCTTCTATTGCGGATACAAGGAAGGAGTCGCTACTTACCCGAGCGCTGCTGAGCAGTCCTGAGCCCTCGCCTATCGATTCGACAAATCTGGCTTCGCATATGAATGGGTTCAAACGAAATTACCCGCCCTCTGTCTGTAGCAATGTCAGTGGGCCTTCGACTGCGGAACTGACCAGTGACGGGGAAACTAAAACCCCACCGCGGTCCGATTCCCCCAGCCCACCGATCCCTTCCGGTTTTGCGATTCTGCCCCCCGCAGCCCATGGCGGCATACGATTGAAAAATGCCTTAGCTCCTCCTACCGACACTCCTGGATCGGAAATTGAAGCCAATCTTGGACGGAAACGCTGCATAACATTTGCATGTGGTGGGCGAGTATTTGACAACGATGAGAAAGCTTCGAGCGAACCAGTGAAGGATACCAATGGCCCCAAACGGAAGTCCATGCTTACTTTCGTTTGCCCTTCGCGGCCAACTGGTGATAGCGATAGCAAAGTTGAACGAACAAACCATCGCAGAAGCTCTGTGCCTCGACGCAGCGGAATCTCGCCCCTCGTGGTGCGCAAATCCAGTTCGGACTCTTCAGCTTCATCAGAGGGGAAGGTCGATCGACACGACGCTTCTCCAGTGAGTGCACCAGGTGCTCCTCTTGTTGCGGGACTCAAGGGGTTTGAACTCTCTGATGCGACTCGTTTTCACGAATTTGGTAGTTCTTTGGAAGACGATGATTGGATAAACCAGGTCACAAACTACAAGGTCAAAATGACGCTGAATGATTGCATGAAGAAGGAGCTTGCTATTAGGAAACTTGGGGAGGAGGCGGAGGAAGAAGCTCGACAGGACGAAGAGGATGCAGAGAATGACGAGAATGACGATGACGATGACGATGGCGATAACAATGACGATGATGAGGACGATGGCGACGATGATGGCGACGATGATGGCGACGATGATGACGACGACGACGACGATGACGGTGATGATGATAATGGGGACGAGGACGGAGATAATTCTACGCTTCAAGATGGCGTTTCTGATGCTGGCAACGAGAGTGACAACGAGGCTGGTTTTGCAGACTCCGACGAAAGTGATAACGAGTCGGAATACGCGTTCTGGGCCCCGTCGATGGCAACCGCAGCTACAAGCGTCGACAACGTCGATTTTGCTCAACGAAATTCTGGACGACGAAGTTCATCTTCTTCAACTGGGTCTTCAAAGGAGCGGGAGAACGACCGGGAAAAAATGCCACCCCCTCCACAACCCAGGCCTTGCCAGCGACGCCGTCAGTCAAGCAAAGCACAGAAGCATCGACCTGGTACACCAGACCTTCCTGATAGTACCGATTTCGTATGCGGAACATTCGATGAAGATCGTCCTTTGGAAGCGGCGTATATCTCGTGCATGGAACAGCGTCGACGTGCGAAACATATCCTCATCCCTCAGGACATTGACCCCAGCTTTCCCACCACAGACCCCGAGGATGGAGATGGAGATGATGATGATGATGACAACGGTGATGATAATAATAACATCTCCCAAAAATTGAATGCATATGATTCAGAGGGTCTTCGCGGAAGGCAGAAAGTCAGCAGCCGAAAAACTACTCCAAGCCATTCTCCAAAACGTCTCCAGTCTCCACCTCCACGGCGCGTCTCGGGGAATTCTCCCCGTCGTCTTCGTTCACCGCCACCAACCATGAGATTGAAGTCTCCACCATCGCGTCGTCCTTCTCTCGCCACTGCAGCCTTACATCCCGTCGGTATGAACATCACTGGCCTCGCACAGAGGCCACCTCGGCGCCGTACCAGATCACTCCCTCGCACCCCCAACCCCTTCTTCGCTCGCTTAGAACGGCGTCGATCGACAAAGGCAATACCAACCACGACCGGCTCAAGTAATTCCGGCAGCCGCGACATGCACACTCGTGGGCCCATTGATATCGTCGTGGGTCTCGAAAAGAAGCGTCAGAAACGGAAAGAAAAATTCTGGCGCCAACACTGCCGGAAAGCTGCAAAGGAGCACCTTGAGCGCAAGCCTCTACCGGGGAAAGGCGCCGAACGCATGAAAGAACTCGGGCTC